AAAGAAAGGAAGGAAAAAAGGAAGAAAGGAAGGAAGAAGGAAAGAAAAGGTATAAAAATCCAAATGGCAAGAAGGTTTGTCTAAGACTTACAACAATGGAAAGCTTGGTGGTTATTGATGAGTATACAGGTAATCTTAATTTACTATGGTGTGTGTTGTATGTAATTTGTATTCAACTCTTTTTACAAAAATAAAATGAAGTCAATTAAGTAGGTAGGACATCTTTAAAAGAGTATAAAGTTTATTTTTGATAAACATAGTTAAATATTTTTAAAAACCAGTTTTGTCTTAGTTACTAGTCTATTGCTGTGAGGAGATACCATGACCAGGGCAAAGCTTCTAATGAAAGCATTTGAGAAAGAGGGAGAGGGAGAAGGAGAGGGAGTGGGAGAGGGAGAGGGAGAGGGAGAGGGAGAGGGAGAGAGAGAGGGAGAGGGAGAGGGAGAGAGAGAAAGGGAGAAGGAGAGGAAGTGGGAAAGGGAGAGGGAGTGGGAGAGGGAGAGGGAGAGAGAGAGAGGGAGTGGGAGAGGGAGAGAGAGAGAGGGAGTGGGAGAGGGAGAGGGAGTGGGAAAGGGAGAGGAAGAGAGAGACAGAGAGGGAGAGGGAGAGGGAGAGGGAGAGAGAGAGGGAAAGATTGGGTCTAATCTGAGCTTTTGAAACAAGCCCACCCATCAGTGACACATCTCCTCCAACAAAACCACACCTGCTACAACAAGGTCACAACTCCAAATCCTTCCCAAACAATTTCCACATCCCAAGGAATAAGTATTCAAATATACAAGACAATAGGGATCATTCTTATTCAAACCACAACAGATTATCTGTAATTGTTGCTAAAATTCTTGTCCCAGGGAGCAGTAAAACAACATCTACACACACACACACCCACCAACACACACCCCAACACACACACACCCCAACACACACACACCCCAACACACACACACACCAACACACACACACACCAACACACACACACACCAACACACACACACCAACACACACACACACACACCAACACACACACACACAAGACTTCAATAACAAACTGAAATTCAATTCCATTAAAGTTGTCTTAGGGAGAGCCAATACAGTTTTTGAACTTCCTTATAGAGCCTTCATAAGGTGTTCCTTACAGGTGTATGGGCAGTCCTCTCCCAAATGACCACACCTGAAAGCCTTATCCGGCACCAATGAGAGCTTCTTCACCACCACTTAGACGGAGCCCCCTCCATCTTCCCCAGGTTCTGTGTACTCTGGCTCCTCCCTGGGCAACTCTCAGAGTTGTCAGATAATAGGGAGCCATTAGCTACTCGGGTGAGAATCTTATGCCTTTACTGTGGGAAAGGGGGTGTAGTCACCCACCATTGCTACTGGATGATTTCTTCCAAGGAGATACAGCTAAGCTCCCCAAGATCATAGCTGCTTGGCTCAGAGGACAGTCACTCATGATACCATGATAAAATAAAATTTCATTCTGAGAATAAAACATAAAAGAAAACAATAACATAGAAAGTTTTAATCTAAGTCTCAGAACATTTGCAGCAGATAAGACTTTAAGAATGACATATGCAGCCAGGTGGCGGTGGTGGCGCACGCCTTTAATCCCAGCACTTGGGAGGCAGAGGCAGGTGGATTTCTGAGTTCGAGAGTTCGAGTCTAGCCTGGTCTACAGAGTGAGTTCCAGGACAGCCAGGGCTACTCAGAGAAACCCTGTCTCGAAAAAAAAAAACCCCCCCCCCAAAAAAAAAGAATGACATATGCTTCCTGGTGAAAGATTATAAAAAGTTCAGAGTTCAAGACGATAATACTTAGTGTCTGATAAGCCAGTGGTAGGTTAGATTAAGATAATGATTTGCTTGTTTACAAAAAATTAGTTTAAAAACAAGCATTCATATGAGCAATATAATTGCTTGTTTTACTACATTTTTTTTAAAGCTTCAATCACTTGGGAAAACTGAGTCTTGAAAGGATTTCTTTTTTTAAAAAGTGTTTGGTTTTGTTGTCTAAAATAAATCTAAATGTTACACAGAAGTTAAAATTACAAGATTGGTTAAGGCCACACTTCTGAGTGTTCATCAACCAAAGCCTGATGACCTCACTACCAAAGATAAGAGGATCACAAGAGTCTGCCAATGTTGTAACCCTTGTCATCTGTGATCACCTGACAAGCAGGGCATGCTGGGATGGGGGTGCCCATTTGGTCTCCAAAAAGACTGAACTGTTACCAGCAAACATCCTACAGGGAGAATCGTCAACAGAGGACATGTTCCCTGAGCTTCCTAAGGAGGCTTCACATTTAACAGTGCCCTGACTCATTCTTACAGATAACACTACTGGTAGAGAAAAATCAACCAAATTCAGGGGTCTTCCTATATGTTCTTATGAACAGACTCTAAGGAGGTTCAGCTAGCGTCAAAATAATAATAATAATAATAATAATAATTTTTAAAAGCCTGTGGATATCTGCCTAATTTTAATAAAAAAACATCATCCAAAAAGCATTAACTGCAGTCAGTACAGCAGCTCAAGCCTGTGATCCTAGCACTTGGAAGGCTGAGGCAAGACGGCACAACTCCAGGCTAGCTTTGGCTACATAGTGATTCCCAGGCCAGGTTGGGCTAAAGAATGAGGCCTCCATCTTGGAGAAATAAGGATTAGCTGACAGGGGTAAATGTTTATGATATAAGGTGAAGGAGACCCTGGAGTCACCCTCTGCCAGCATGTGTGCCAATCCTTTCAAGTCATATAACCAAAGAGCTCTAGTGTCCGTGAGACAGGCATCGGCACAGTTACACAGAGAACATCGAATAGCAAGAAAACAAGGCATGAAACAGTGCACGGTGAATCTTAAACAAGGATGCTTTGTGTCTGAATTGTACTTTGGAATGTAAATTATCTTAAAGCAAAAAAACAAAGGGCTGAGATGATTTAGGGAAGTGCTTGCACACACACACATACACACACACATACACAGAGAGAGAGACAGACAGAGACAGAGAGACAGAAACACAGAGAAAGAGATACAGAGACAGACACACATACAGAAAGACAGAGAGACAGACACACACAGAGACAGAGAGAGAAAGAGACAGAGAGACAGAGACAGAGAGACAGAGAAATAGACACAGAGAGAGAGAGAGAAACAGACACACACACATAAGGACAGAGAGAGACAGATAGAGACAGAGACAGAGGCAGAGACACACACAGAGAAAGAGAGAGGAGGGAGGGAGGGAAGGAGGGAGGGAGGGAGGGAGGGAGGGAGGGAGGGAGGGAGGGAGAGAGGGGACAAATATACAAACTTCTGTGTGCTGAGGTGAGCCATGAACCTCTGCTGACTAATTTTTACAGACTTCCACATGCAGGGGAGGAGAGGTAAACGGCTTTCTCCTGGCAGCAGCGTGGCCAGGGGTTTGTACTCCCTTCCTTACACATACTGCATCCTTCCGTTCTTTGACACTTACCAAGGATGACTCCTCCACTGAGAACAGGAGCAGTGCACAGCGGCCCATGTCTAGTTCCTCAGCATTCATCTCTCAGCTGCCACTTGGAAGAGGAGAACTTTGTCTCCTCGTCAACTCGTACCAGGAGGAAACAGGAAGGGAGGAAGACACCCAACCGAAAGCAGTATGAGGGGGCCTCCTCAGGTTCTTGTCTTTTGTAAATGATAAGCCCTTCAGAGACTCGGCTGATGGGAATCTGCCAGACCTGGGTGTGACTGACTCCCACGCAGCCTGGCTGCTCTTTTGTGAGCCCTGGAAGACACCTCAGCAGCTGATTAAGAAGAGGTATGGTCATCATTAAATAATAGCTAACACTTTCTCCAGATTTATTCTATTTATAAGTGTGTGTGTGTGTGTGTGTGTGTGTGTGTGTGCACATGAATGCCAGTGCCTACAGAGGCCAGAGGCTTCAGGTCCCCTGGAGCTGGAATTACACCTGATGTGGGGACAAGAACTAACCTAGGACCCTCTGCAAAAACAGTATTGCTCCTAACCACAGAGCCATCTCTGTAGCCCCAATAACTAACACTTTTAAACACTTACTATTTCATAAAATTGGACAAGGGGCTCTGTGTACACTAATGCCAATATTCACACCATGTAAGGTAGGCACTGTCATCCTTATTGTATATTGATTTTCCAGTCAGATCTCAGCCTTTGTGTTCCATGGCAGTTTACGTTTTTTCCAGACGTATCCATTGTTTTAGACTGTGGACAACCAGATAAAGTCGCCCAGAGTGGGTATATGACTTGCCCACGGACACACAATGATTAAGAGGTTATACTTTTCGATAACTTGCTTTTCGTCATAAAAGGCAAATTTTTCACCCTTTAATCAAACCAGACACCAGTAAATCTCTATTCTCCTCACCGAGAACATGTTTGCTACATTTTTCAAGGAGAGTGAAGATATTGGACATGATGTAGGAGCTAAGAAATGTTACCTCCCTAGGGTGGGGTCAAGAAACAGGTGTGATGCCTGGAAAATAATCTTTATACAGTCTCCTTAGAGATAAGAGCGAGATACAGGAGGGAGAAAGTCTCCTGTATCTTGAAACCTTATGGACTGTGTAACTGTCTGGCAACATGCCTTCCAACCTCACCTTCTGGAACTCCAGGGGTCTCTTCTCCTTCCATGATGCCTTAAAGGGACCTGACCTTCTGGCTGCCTAAGAAGTGTGGACATTCCAATATTATCTGTCATCCTCCTCGGTTTAGCCCACCTAGAGGGAGACTCCTCATCCTGACAACTCACCCCACTCCTCACCCCTTACCCCTCAACCCTCAAGGTATTCTAGCTGCCTGTAGCACAGCTTCGGAGCCAGAGCCTTCTGGAGCCTGTCTTGCAAGGTGGGGTGTTGTTTCGACATAAGAAAGAAGGCAAGCAAAAATGGTTAGGTATGCAAAATACAGGGAGGAGGAGTTGATGAGTCAGAGAGAGAGATGGTGCTCAGCCTGGCGGGCAGTGAGCTGCTTGCTCAGTCATCTTGGGCACTGGGGAAGCCTAAGGTAAGAAGAGAATTCCCTGGGGAGCAGCTACCACGAAGGGCGTTATCCCAGCTACAGGATCAGAGTATCAGGTAACCCTGACATCTAAGCTGGGGATTTTGGTGGCTGGAGGAAGAGGACTAGGAAAAAGGAATGGTGTTGGGGGATACTCTGAATCACCAAGGGAATCTTCCAGAGAAGGAAAACTCAAGCTTCTTATCAGAAGCGGAACCCCACCAGTTCCATCCATAAAGGATGAGAACCAACCTCAAATGTGGGTGGGAATGTGGGAGTGCCTGTTCCCTGCTGAACGGGGGATCGGAGCAGACTTTGTCTAGCTCAGGCGGGAGTGGAGCATGGCCATTAATCAGATCAAATGGGCAGAGCTATTGCAACTAAACATCAGTCAATCAATGGTCAGTGGATCCTTTTGAAAATTAAGGAAGCGGGGGTCAGTGAGATGCCCCAGTGGGTAAGGATGCTTGCCGCCAAGCTTGATGATCTGAGTTCCAGTCCCGAGACCCCCTTGGTGGGAGCAAATCAGTTTCCACAGTTTTCCTCTGACCTCCACGCACATGATCGGACACATATGCTACATACATAAAACGTGAAATTGAAGAATAGGGAAGCGGCCAGTGCTGCTCTAACAGTCTCGTTGTGTCTAATTGGGTTGTATTTTATGATTGCCCCACAAAGGGCCTTGGAAGTCTAGAAGTGTATCGCAGATGTGAAATATAATGGGGTTTACAGAGCAAGCATGTCGGCTGAGGTCGAGGAGATCTCTGCTTCAAATGGCCCTGGATAATTTTGATTCATTAGAGCTGGAATAGTTTTATATATATAAAAACAAATACGATATCTTGCCCATTCGCCTCAAGTCAACAAGGGCACCCCAAGTACCAAGACTGTCCCCACAGATATTGGTTCACTCAGATATGCATGAACAGGTGTTTCCCTGAGTTGTGTGCCCAGCACTGTCCCTGGGCACACAGCAGGATGAAGTCCCGCTATCAGTCTGACTTATTGAGTTTGTTCGTCGGAGTGTGGTAGCTAAGTGTGTAATCCTGGCACTTGTGAGGCAGAAACAGGGGAGTTGCTGTTTGGTTGAGTTCGGGGCCAGCTTTGGATGCAGTGTGAGTCGCTGTCTTAAACAAAGTTTGCTTTGTGGTTGCTTTTATCTGGGAACTCAACCCCAAGAGTTTCCCAGGTCTGTAGGCTATCTGTGGTGACGGCAGTGTCCCCGACCCACCCACCTCCATTCTCTGTGCACAGCGACTTCTGGCTATATCTACCTTCTGCTTGCTGGGACATCATTCCATAAAGAATCTAAAGTACAGTTGTGCCAGTCTTTAGAATGCTGGCCTCTTAGATTGATATCCAGGGTTTTTGTCTGTCTGTTTGTCTAGTTGATTTTGGTCAGGGTTTCCCATTTTGCTTCCAAAAGCTTATGTGCTCCTGACTGGTGGGGAAGGATCTGTAATCCAGGCCCTTGTAGTCAGACCGTGGAAGGAACCCTGGTGCCTCCGTGGTCCCTGCTCCTGACATAGGTCCCCCTCACCAACACCCCTCTGATGATGGTTCTCCAGACCTGAGTGCCACGCAGTTTCATTCCCAAGTGGAAGCTAGGCACCCGTCAGTGTGACCTTTAGTGCACACCTATACTCTCAACGCTCAAGGGATGGAGACAGGAGGATCAGATGTTCAGGGTTATTCCCCGATACCTGACCAGTTTGGAGGTCAGTCTGAGCCACAGGAAACCTTTTATCAAACAAAGCTCCAAGGCTTTTCTGCTTTCTAACGGTGTGCCTCTTCTTGTTCCATCCAACTGGCCGTGGATGTCCTTGGTTCAGGAGGCTTAAGTCGTCCTAGTTGGCTGTGGAAGTAATACGCACGGCAAACAAGATAAGACATGGCTGCCTCTTCAGTAACTGCAGCTCCCTGGGAAGTCTGCAGCTGTGCCCTGTGCTTGGGAGACGGGGTGGGGGGAATAACATTCTTTTGGGGAGAAAGAGAGCCTGTAGGTACTCTCTTGGAGGAAGAATAGCAGCCCCCCTAATGTCCTGGGGCTCCTCCACAATGAGACATGTTGGGAAGACCTGGAAGTTGGATCTGAGGCTAATGGCATAGAAACAGGGAATTAAAGAACAGGCAGGCAGAGTGGGGCCCTGAACACAAGGCCTGAGGATTTGGGTTTCAGTTTGTACATGTTACCATGTTAATCCAAGAGATTTTAGACCAAGAAGATGCTTTAGAAAGAGGTGTGCCCATGGGGGAGGGAGAGGAGGAAGGAGAGCTGAGAGGGACAAGAGGGAAATTTCAAGGCCTCAAGCAGAGAGGAATTCCAGCAACAGGAGGGTATGACTCAGGCCAGACCTGGAGGGTTTTCTTCTCCCCAGTGAGCCTTCTTGAGCACCAGGTAACCAGCACCCTCATGTCCACCAGCCCAGGACTGTCCCCTGCCTCTACTGTTGATTGTTAAGATACATTTTGCCTGAGCTGTGCACTAGAGTGCTTTCTAGTGGGCTGGACAGCCCCAGCATGTGCTGCTCAGAGTCTGGTGACCAGGGACTACATGAGTTTCACAAAAGCTTGCTGTTTCTGGCCAGGGTTCATGCAAAAGAAAAACAGAGGCCTGGAGACACGGCTTCACGATAGAACAGCAGATATAAGGTGCCAGGTTGCTCCCCAACACCCACTCTAGCACCCTGAAAATGAAAAGGAAAGAAAACACAGGAAGGGTCTGGCTTGAGGCCAGGGACAACTGGCACACAGGAAGGCACAGAGTCATCAATCCCTGCAGGACAGAGTTGGCTCAGGGCCGGGATGGAAGGAAAATCCTGCTTTCCTAGTGCCAAGGGATGTTAGCTTTGGGCTGAAGCAGTTACAGGGCCTGCCTGTAAAATCCTAGTCCAGTTTCTGAATGGCCACAGGTTGAGGTCTCTTCTGGTTTTCCTCTTCCCCGACACTCTATTGCTTCCTATCTTTGGTCTACAGCGTTGTTCTCAGATTGTCCCATGGAGAAGCTCTCTGTCATGGAGTAGTGAAGCAGGAACAACCACACTTAAACCAGGGTCAATAAATGACATCGTTTCTAATTATTCCCTCTTGGGCCTCAGTTTTAGAAACTGGTCATCCCCTAAGCTGTGGGGCTCAGGCAACAAGACAGGAAGTACTATTCACTGCCACAGCCCCCTGTGCTAGCATCATGGGCTGTATGTGCACATGTGAGTCCCCATAGGGACTGTATGTGCCCATGTGAGCCCATTACCCTCTGCAGTGTTCCTTTCTGATAGGACCTCTCACTGGACACTGGAGCCAGCAAGCCCAAAGCATTCTCCCACAACATAGGATACACACGCACCTAGATGGCCATGCCTTGCTTTTCTGTGGGTGCTGGGGATGTGAACCCATGTTCCCTCACTCGAGCAGCAAGTGCTCTTAACTACTGATCCTGGCAAAGTGCTGGAATGTTTGGGCCACGAAGCAGAAATGAGAGCTAGAGAGACAGACCCACAGGTCCACTTACCTTGAGGACACCAAGGCCTGAGTTTGATTGTCAGAACTCACATTTTTAAAAGCCAGGCATGGCAGCACATACTTGGAATCCCAGAATTAGAGATCCCAGAGGGCTCAGTGACCAGCCAGCCTAGCCTATTAGGCCAGCTCCAGGTCAGTGATAGACCCTAAAGGGTGAGAGAGAGAGAGAGAGAGAGAGAGAGAGAGAGAGAGAGAGAGAGACAGAGAGAGAGAGACAGAGAGACAGAGAGACAGACAGAGACATACACATACACACACACATACACATACACACACACACATACACACACACACATACACACACAGATACACATACACACATACACACACACACACACACACACATACACACACACATACACAAAAAGTAAGAAAGAAGACTGATCCTCATCTGCTCCTTTTGGCCATCCAGAGGAAAAGCAAGACTGACAGTGAGTGGGAGAGATGGTGGAGGTGGGGTGGGATGAGGGTGGGGTGCCACTGCCACATGAAGTCTGGTGAGGATCATGACACACTTCCAGAATGTTCAAGGGAACTTCCAAGGGAAGCCCGAGAGCTGGCAAAGCATGCCCTACCTCTTGAAGAAACAAGTTACAAACTCCAAGAAACACCTCTGTGACTGCTTCTTCCTCAACAGAAAGCAACTGCAATGACAAACAGAATGGAACCATTGTCTAGAGGAGAGTTGGTGACTAGACAGGCTTGGAGATGGAGTTTTCACTGGGTACCAACGACAATCAACACTGGCTCTTACAAAGAGGGACAAGTTCACCAAGTCACCAACTAGGGGGATTCTTATGTTTTCTTTCCCCTAGGAAAGCACTGTGACCTATCTGAAGATGCGTCAGGTACCCTGCCTGCAGTTCACTCTAGGAATGCTGTATCTTCCCCCCCGCAGACCCAACTGCTGGCAGCAAGATCTCTCCTTGTTCACAGAGACCTATGTCCCGACAGGCCAGGCTAGAGCAGGCAAGCACTCTCTCCCCCATACAGTGTCTCAGGAGAGCCACACTTTCCTCTCTTCCTCTGTGGGCTTCAGGCCCATGAGAACAAGTCTTTTCAAAGCAATTTGAAAACTGTGTAAACATTTTCTACTAAAAATACCCCATGAGAGTAGACTGTCGGGACATCTATTTATTATTTTTTATCCTTTGACCATTTCATATATGTATATAATATAATTAATTACACTTGCCTTCTGGTCTTATCCAAGCCATTCTAATTAAATTCAACGAGTCCTAAAAAATGTTTTTTAAGATATGAAAGAAGGATGGCTTAACTGATAGAATCAGGAGGTGACAGAGCTAAAGAGAGGGTCAGGGCGTGACAGAGATTAAGAAGGGGTCATGGGTGGGTGATGGAGCTTGGGAGGGGGTAAGGGAGTAGGTGACAGAGCTTCAGAGAGTACTGGGGTGAATATTATCCAAGTAGATCATATATGTGTGTGGAAATGACATTGTGAGACTCATTTCATATAAATTAAATATCCCAATAAAATCAATATTTAAAAAGCTGGGCTTACTGGTTCATTCCTGTGATCCCCAGCACTTAGGACACTGAGACAGAAGAATCTTCAGGAGTTTAGGGCTATCTAGGGCTACGCAGTAAGATCCAGGACAGCCTGTCAATTACAACAAAAGTATAACACCTTTGTAAAGGGAATCTAGAAAGAGGAAACAAAAAGAACCACCTTAGAGTTAAGAACACAGACAAATTATCCGTTCTTGTTCTAGCTTCGTTTCTGTCGCTGTGAAGAAATATCCCTTGTGAAACAATTTAAAGGGAGGAGAGGGTTTATCTGGTTTGCAGGGCCAGTTCGAAGTCTGTTACTGCAGGGAAATCACAGACCTGGTGGATCCTGCAGCTTAACAGTGAAGACAATCCTCCACTCCCTACACACAGGCATGCCCACAGGCTAACCTGATCTAGACAATCTCCACAGACATGCCCACAGGCTAACCTGATCTAGACAATCCCCACAGACATGCTCCCAGGCCAACCTGGTCTAGACAAGTCCTCAGTTAAGGCTGTCTCCTTGAGTGATTTTAGGTTCTGGGAAGTTGAAAATTAAAAACTAGTCAACTCACTTGCAAAATCTATTTTAGAGATTGAAATAAAAGTCACAGTAACAATGCTGAAGTTTTCATTAGCACTCAGGCTGGGCATACGCTCGCTAGGTGGGTGTTCTGCACGGCTGCTTCCCGGATACCCAGTTGGGGTGACATGGGAATGAATAAACGACACACAAAAGCTGTGATTGGGTGGGCTGTGCTCACCTTGATGGGGGCACCTATAGTGTAACCCCAAAAATCAGCATGTTTAGTATGTATAACACAAAGAGGAGGGGTTAGCTCATCTCAGCTTGGGGGTCTCTGCAGGAGAGCAGTCTCAGGCAGTAAACATTCCAGAAGAGGGTTGATGCTTTCTTCACACACTGTCAACATTCTCTCTAGGACCGGAGGACTCTTCTGCCATTTCCATGGGTCCAGCATGGCTGTGTTCCCGTCAACAATACACAGCCATTCACTCCATCACTGAGCTGCACATGCAAGCCCTCTTACACACACACACACACACACACACACACACACACACACACACACACTTGAAAAAGGACCTTACTAAATTGCTGGAGCCTTAACTCGCAGTCCTACCCCTGCCTCCCTTATAGATGGGGTTACAGGGATGTGCGCTCACCCCTGGGCAGGGGGGACTTGTAGTTGCCAATAAGATGTGTCATAAACAGAAGAGCAAGCTCCTTGTCTTCTTTACTCAGGGAGAATCTCTAGGATATATGGTGACCTACGCAAGTTAGCACCTTGTTGCTGTTCAGATTTATGCTGTGTAATAGCTAGTGTGTCTCTCAGTTCTGTGTGTCAAACAGATCCCTCAGCCCTGAATGACGCAGGAAAGAGGGGTTAGGGAGCGGCTTTGCCCGTTATAAGCACTAGCTACTCTTACAGAGCAGGAAGAGTCAGTTCCCAGCACCTACCCGGTGGCTCACGACCATCTGTAACTCTAGTCCCCGGCATCCAACACCCAGTTCCAGTCTCCGAGGGCACCGCATGCATGTGCTTTACATATCTACATGCAAGCAGACACAGCACAGCAGTTGGTACCGAACTGTCTTTGTTATTTTTTTGATTATATTTGTGTGTGTGCACATGTGCATATGAATGTGACTGTGTATGTGTACATGCATCTATGGGGGTCAGAAGACAGCTTGCCGGGGCTGGTTTTCTCCTTCCACCATGTTGATTGATCCTGGTGCTCAACCTCAGGTTCGCCAGCAAGTACTGTCACCTGCTAAGCCCTCTTGCTGATCTAAGGGTGTGTTCCTTTTCTATCTCCCCCATCTCTCTTTCTCTTTCTTTCTCTCTCTTTTCCCCTCTCTGCATTGAAAGATCTACTTTTCATTATCATATGATTTAATATAATTTATTACTTCTTCGAGAATTTCATACATGCATACAATCCTCCCCTGACTTTTCTCAGGTCCACCCTCACATCCTTACCCTTCCCCCCACAGTCCCAATTTCATTTCATTTCATTTCATTTCTTCTTCTTCCTCCTCCTCCTCCTCCTCCTCCTCCTCCTCTTCCTCCTCTTCTTCTTCTCCTTCTTCTTCTTCTTCTTCGTCTTTTTCTCCTTCTCCTCCTCCTCCTTCTCCTCCTTCTCCTCCTTTTCCACCTCTTCCTCCTCCTCCTCCTCCTTCTCCTTCTTCTTCTTTTTAACTAACCCACCAAGTTCAATGTGTGCTACCCAAAACCTCAGGAGTATAAGGCCATCTCCAGGAGCATGCCTGAACTACCTGGGGCTCCACCTGAGGATCTTTTTGTATGAAATAAGCTCGCATTGTGAAAAGAATAAGGCCAGCTGTTCCACCAGTCTTTGTGATTTTTTTGTTTTTGTTTTTGTTTTTGTTTTTTCGAGACAGGGTTTCTCTGTGTAGCCCTGGTTGTCCTGGAATTCACTCTGTAGACCAGGCTGGTCTTGATCTCAGAAATCCGCCTGCCCCTGCCTCCCAAGTGCTGGGATTAAAGGCGTGTGCCATCACTGCCCAGTGTGATTTTTTTTTAATATGAATTAGAATTGGAAACGTTCTTTAAACATTGAATGTCTAGCTTCTGGGACACCCTCCGAGTACCTTCCTCTGCTATCACTTTGTGTAACGAACATCTGAATTATGATGATGTGACATTCTCTGGCACTGTGCAGTACGACTTGCCCAACCGTGTTAAGTCACCCTGAGTAGATTATCAAAGCAGCCAGACATTTCCCAAGTTGAAGCCCTATGACCAAACAGCCACAGCTTTCGCTAACACAGCTCCTGGGCTGGCTCACCACACTTCTGTGGAGACAATGGTTCAGCTGATGTGCGCTCAGATCATTTACCTCCGTGTAGGCACAAGGTTAGGTTTGGCTCAGCTTCCCCTTGTTCTTAGTCCTGGGGGGATGAGGCTAAATCAGAAGGAACCCAGTGCCAAATGCAGTATGTGGCTTTGCCACTAAAGAGACCACTCTAAAGCCAGGTAGTTTGGCAGCCTACAGCCCTAGCCTTCAGGAGATTGCAGTGGGAAAGTCCTGGGCCTCATCAAAATGGGGAAGGGATGAGGAACCGTCTTGTAGGACTCCCCTTCACATGAAGGAATGGGTGACAAGCCTGTGACTAAGTGTCTCACTTCCCTTGGTTTGGCATCTAGCCAGCACTTGGTCAGACAGACAGCTTTGCTTACAAGGCCACACCCCTGTCAAGGGTATAGGTGAGGGGTGTGGCAGTACCCCCCATATTGATTAAATATAGCTAAGTAGGGATATTCTTGGTGGTTCAATGGGTGAGAAAGACCAGAAGGAAGTGTTTTAAAGACTGTTAAATAGAACATAGTGATCCAATTAGTACCAGAATTATTCTGCAGAGAGATCTGGACAAGTATTTGTAGGAAGTTTCTGATTTTTTTTTTTTACATTGCTCTTCGGAGGGGGGTCCAGGAGAAGCCAGAAGGTAGATGCTGTAATGACCTAACTGAGCTCCATCCCCTCTGCTTGCCCTTTAAAGGTCTTCTACTTCTGCAGGAGGATGCTGTTTAAGAAAGGAAGGCTGCTGATGTTCCTGGGTTCCCAGGTGATAGTTGTAGCTCTCTTCCTCTGTATGTCCGGCCATAGACACTTGTTCCAGAGGGAAGAGCCCAGGAGGCCTGTGCATGTGCTCATCCTGTCTTCCTGGCGGTCGGGATCCTCTTTTGTGGGACAGCTTTTCGGGCAGCACCCGGATGTGTTCTACCTGATGGAGCCTGCCTGGCACGTGTGGATGACTTTCACCGGCAGCACGGCCTGGAAGCTGCACATGGCGGTGCGGGATCTTCTGCGCTCCGTCTTCCTGTGTGACATGAGCGTCTTTGATGCCTACATGAACCCAGGGCCCCGAAAACAGTCCAGCCTCTTCCAATGGGAGCAAAGCCGGGCCCTGTGCTCATCGCCTGTTTGTGACTTCTTCTCTGCTGACCAGATCAGCTCGCCCAAGAAGTGCAAACTGCTCTGCAGTCATCAGCCTTTTGATATGGTGGAGAAGGCCTGCCACTCTCATAGCTATGTGGCACTCAAGGAGGTGCGTTTCCTCAGCCTGCAGGCCCTCTACCCACTGCTCACAGACCCTTCCCTCAATTTGCATGTCGTGCACCTGGTCCGAGACCCCCGGGCTGTGTTCCGATCCCGAGAACACACCACAACAGAACTTATGATTGACAGTCATATTATGATAGGGAAGGATTTGAAAACGATCAGGGAGGAAGACCAGCCCTATTATGCCATGAAGATCATCTGCAAAAGCCAGGTGGACATAGTCAAGGCCATCCAAACCCTACCTGAAGCTCTGCAGCAGCGCTACCTGTTCCTGAGGTACGAGGACCTGGTTCGGGAACCTGTGGCCCAGACTTCCAGACTATATAAATTCGTGGGGTTGAATTTTTTGCCTCATCTCCAAACCTGGGTTCACAACGTCACCCGTGGCAAGGGCATGGGTCAGCATGCCTTCCATACTAACGCCAGGAACGCCCTCAATGTCTCTCAGGCATGGCGTTGGTCCTTACCGTATGAAAAGGTTTCTCAACTTCAAGATGCCTGTGGTGAGGCTATGAATTTAATGGGATACCTTCAAGTCGGATCCCAACAAGAGCAAGCTAACCTGTCCCTGGATCTTCTGTCTTCCTCCCGTATCTTGGGGCAGGTCTTCCGAGAAGGTTAAGGAGGTCTGTCTGCACCCCTTGGTTCCAGCCTCAGTCACCATTAAACGCACAGAAGCCTTAAGGAATGAACAAACTGAGCACCCGATTCTCCACAGCCCCAAGCAGAGGTGTCTTTGTGTCTACCCTACAGCTGAGCCTAAAAAGCCAAGAAACAATATCTTTCTATCTTGAAAAAAACTTAGGAATCATAAGCAGCCCCTTGGGTCCGTCAAGCAAGACTACCACCTTTCTTGTCTCTTTGGCCGTCCTACCTGTGGATACCTTGGAGATTAAGGTCTGGAAGCCTATTGGACACAGCAAGCAGCATCCGTGGAGCAAGGCTATAAACCTCCTTGTCCACATCTTCTGGATGAGAAAGGGGATAATAAAAACCCAGAAAATGGGGCTCTCACCAAAGAGCTCCCAGCAACTTCCACAGAGACAAGGACCCTCAAAGTTTCCATAGAATTCTAGGAAGCAGAAACAGGGGCGGGCGCTTATCTGTGAGTCTACCCATTGCACTATCAGTAATCAGAAACAGGAAGCAAAGTTCCTGCAGAGCAGGGCCAGAGTTCAAGTTCAAGGTGTGTCTGGTATAGACAGCATCTCTCTTCAGTGTTTTCCTGGCATATGGGACTCTGACCTGTGGAAATATGAATATCTGCCCACCAGTAATATGAAAATTATACCCTCAGCTTCTGTTTTGACTTCCCCATGTTTGTTTTCTAACTACTGATCGCCGATGCTCATTCTCAGGGGGTTCTAACATCGGACATAATCATCTTTGCAGAACTTTTTATTATCTTTTACTATTATCTAACACAGTTATAAATACCGCTCCCCCTTTTGGAGTCAGATGATAAGCTGAGTCGCAGTTGTCTTCAGAGTTGACGGAAGGCAGGTATTAGCGACTTGCCTGCAAATAGAACGCCATTACAGAAAGCCACTTTGGGGAGACCAGGTTTATTCTGGCTTATAATCCTAGCCAGGTTACAGTCCATCGCAGCGGGAAAGGCACGGAAGCAGTGTGAAGCTGGCATGTCACATTTCACCCACGCTCGGGAAGCAGAGAGACAGAACAGGAAGTGGGGTCAGACTGTAAATCTAAAACCCACCCCCCAGTGACATACTTCTCCAGCGAAGCCCCACCTTCTGAAAGTTCCATAACTTTTCCAAACACCACCACCGACTGGGACAAGGTGTTGAAATGCAGGCGCCTGTGTGGGATGTTGTACATTCAGTCTGTGACAGCTGACAACCAGGAAATCAACCCTTTTGTGCACAATGCACACATTGTAACAATGTTACAAGAAGACTCTCTCTTCTGGCATCTGTAGGCACATGCACATACATTGCACGTGTACACAGACAAACAAGACAGAGAGAGAGAGAGAGAGAGAGAGAGAGAGAGAGAGAGAGAGAGAGAGAGAGAAGTGCCTCTGTATATAATTCTTTTATTCTACTTCCTCAGTCAGAAGACCTCAGTTCTAACAGTCATCTCCTTCTATTTCTAGTGATCGCCTCCCCTAATAAGGAAAGTTGCTTCTCCCAGTCTTTGTAGATGTCACCAGATTTAGCTGTGCTTCGAGACTAGCTGGTACAAATGTATACTGCCAGCTGCTTCCTCAAGTCGAGTGGGGTCAAAGCCTCTCAGTGAGGGATTCTGGATGCTCACCACCCTGCTCAGTGGGCTCTCCAGGGCCTAGTGACTTCTCCTGGCACAAAGTGTCCCCTATGTTAGGCAGCAACGAAATTCACCTTCTGGCTCCAAGACATGCTTAGCACACATCTTGCTGTCACTATTACTACTGGGGCGAAAAGAACAAAGATAGGTGTCTACGGAAGGATCTGGAGAGGTGGCCGAGGTTAAGAGAATCTACTGCTCTTGGAGAGGACCTGGGTTCAGTTCCCAGCATCTATGTATTATGACTCACAATCAGCTGTAACTCCAACTTGAGGACCTGACCCTCTCTTCTGGCATCCATAGGCACATGCACATACAGTGCACATGGAGAGAGAGAGAGAGAGAGAGAGAGAGAGAGAGAGAGAGAGAGAGAGAGTTCAGCATAAAAGAGAGACCTCATCTCAAAAAAAAAAAAAAAGTACACAGGGACTGGAGAGATGGCTGATTATACAGAAGACCTGGGTTTACTTCCTAATGCCCACGTGACGGCCCACAACTGTGTGAAACTCCAGTCTAACACCTTCTTCTGGCCTCTGAGGCATGGTATACAAACATATATTCAGACAAAACACCCATATGCATAATAAATAAATAAATTAAAAAAAAAAAACAAGTAGAGAGCCATGAGAACTAACTATGATTTAAGTATTTCTATCGATAATTCCTGTGTGGTCTCACTTTCTGTGTAATGACAGCAGCTGCTAACATTTTCACAAAGCTTAATTATAACTATGTTTTGTTTTGTTTTATTTTGTTTTGTTTTGTTTTGTTTTTTAACCTGTGAATAATGGCTATGGAAAGGTAAAATCAACTTCTGGTGATTATATAAAATCTGACCTGGTGTTAATCTGTAGTCTTCTTTTCAAGTTAAAGCTAACAATTTGCTATATGGTTTGTTGTGGCTGGTTAATCCTAACCATAATGCCTATGTGTGTATTGTTATAATTCTACTGAGTTACTTTCACAGGCTAAGAAAGCAAAGTTTATCACATGAGTATGTGTGAGTGATACGAATCTCTTAAGCGATGAATCTCTGACAGGTGTTGGTCAGGAAGGCCCGGTGTGCTGGCCCTCCTGCCAGCAAACAGGCTCAGGATCTTATCGCTCTCCTCACAGACATCTCTGGCCTATCAGAGGAAGAGTACTTTCTAAACATAGTATTGTAGAAAAGTGGTCGCCAACAACCCAAGTCTGGATATGACTTTCTGTCAAGTATGTCTTTATTCATTCCATTTGTTTAACAGACTTTACAATATGCCAAGGAATGTTCTGGAGGTTGGTGTGGAGGATGTTAGCGGGATACGGGGTAAGGAAATGAGGAGTGTGCTATGTTACAGAAGTCGGAGACTCATTATCTCTGCGGGAGAGTCTCTCTAGAAACAAAGAAACATGCCGTTGAGAGACCTGGAAACAGATGCCCAGATAAATGCCAGTGTCAGCAAAGACAAAGCCACAAGTCTGTGAAGGCTATGATGCTCTCATGATGGTCACACAAAAGACAAAAATTACAGACATGGCAGGAAAGACAATAAACCAAGAGTTCATGAAACCATGGAATTGTACTTCCTGTCGACTCTGCTACTGCCAGCTGGGTTTCCTCGTGTCCCCATGTTCTCGTTCGTAAGCGCAGGGTGGGTAGCAGAACCACCTCACAGCTTCTCAGGATTCTCAGGAGTTACTGGGGAAGTCGGTGGGCAAATACAGAGGGCATCCTTAGTGAGATATATATATATACATATATATATACACACACACACACACACACATACATATATGTACTGTAGCTGTCTTCATGCATACCAGAAGAAGGCATAGGATCCTATGGTTGCAGTCAGTGCTCTTAACCACTGAGCCATTTCTCCAGCCCCCTTAGTGAGCTCTTTCCCAGTGTTAACTGTGACAGGAATGTCATGTGACTAGCACAGCCCCAGGCAGCTCAGGTAACACTGAATCCTTTCTGATTGCTGCATCAGCATTCCTTCCAGTGTTGCCAATCACCCATGAGGAGACTGATGCTGGCTCCTGGGTCTTCTGCATCAGTGGCTCACAACAAGATGTGACTGTAGCCTCCCCAACCATGTGTTTTAGGTGGTTTTGTTTTTGTTCGTTGTTTGTTTGTGTGTTTTTGTTTGGGGGGATTGTTTGTTTGTTTGTTGTTATTTTGAGACAGGTTTCTCTGTGCCCTGGTTGTCCTAGAACTCACTTGGTAAACCAGGCTGGCCTTGAACTCATAGAGATCCATCTCCCTCTGCCTCCTCCTTGCTTGATTAAAGGCATGCACCACCATGTCTCGCTGTTTTGGTACTTTTTAGTTGGCATATAGTGATTGTGCATTTTTCTCTGGGGAATTTGGAGTTGTCACAGTTAGGTAGGGGCAGGGCTAGCGTTAGTGGGACACTAAAAGCAGTGGCCAGGGAAGCTTCCCAAAGCAGAATCAATCTGTCCAAAGTAGCATCTGAGAATCTCTCCCCAACAGGGACTTCTCTTGATCTCTTCACTCCAATCCAAATGAATGTACTACCAGCATGCAGGTCTCACCTGGGGGAGAGGCCATACTGGAGGCTTTGAAACTTTTAGTCAGTGGAGAGGTGGGGTATGTTGGAGGAGGGAAAGTCAATTTTCTTCTGGACTATGGATCCTCACAGGCTACATGTTCTGTGTGGTGGCTTCACACCCATAAACATTTAATTATAAACTCAGTGAGTTCTTAAAGAGGGAAGAGACAGAGAGGGGGGAGGGAGGGAAAGAGGGAGGGAGGGAGGGAGAGAGAGAGAGAGAGAGAGAGAGAGAGAGAGAGAGAGAGAGAGAGATTGTTTGGAATAATACACACTTTTAATCCCAGCACTTGGGAAGCTGAGGCAGGCAGATCTTTGAGTTGGAGGCCAGCCTGATCTAAGAGAGAGTTCCAGGACAGCCAGAGCTACACAGAGAAATCCTGTCTCCAAAACTCTGTAATATCAGTGGATCAGGGAGACTATCAGAGGGGGAGGGGGTAAAGATGAAGTTGGGATGAGTACACAAGGAAAGCCAGGAGGAATTAGGGGGTAGGGAATGGATATGATCAAAATATGTTTTAGATAGATAGATAGATAGATAGATAGATAGATAGATAGATAGATAGATAGATGATAGATAGATAGATGATAGATAGATAGGTAGATAGACATAGATAGATAGATAGATAGATAGATAGATAGATAGATAGATAGATAGATAGATAGATAGATAATGTTTGGAATTCTCAGGGATGCTTTCTCTCCATTTGAAGTACAGAGCTGTGTCATGGGAAGTGATGAGACAGGAGTTTGAGAGAGGTGTGCAGGCACACTGCCTGGGACCCGTCACTCACAGGTAACTCTGTCCCTAACCTGAGGCTCATGCCCATATTCATTCAGGCAGCCATGACCAGAAGAGGAAAAGGCTTAGAGAGAGAAACATGGCCATTCAGAGCATTGAGTACAATGGACAGAAGGAGGCAGCTCAGGGAGACTAGCAGACACGTTGAGTACAAGGGACTCAGTCCTGGATGCCAGCAGGCTCTTCAGGCACCACAGGACCTGGGCTCATCCTTCTGCTTTTGACTTCTTTGTCCACTGTCAGCCCCCTTCCCTGACACGCTCAGCAACCTTTAGAGTTTGACTTTTAAAATGTTATTTTTACATGTACTTACCTATGTGTGGTGTACGGATATGTGGACAGGTAGATAAGGGAGTGTGGGGACACCCATGCCACAGCACGTGGCAGTCAGAGGGCACCTTGTGGAAGTCCATTGGGTCCTCTCCTCCCACCACGTGGACTCCAGCGATTGAATGCAGATCACCAGGCTTGGCTACAAGCACCCCTGCTCGTTGCGTCATTTTGCTGGGCCATCAGCAACCTTTTAAACACGGTTTTCCTAATCCTCACCCCACTATGAAATGCTAAGATCCCAAATTCATCTATCTGCCATGTTCTGTGGCAGCCCCTTGGAGCACACAGGCTACTGCTATTTCTAAATTTCTGATTCCCTACCCAGAATCCATTTCCATCCCCTTGGCTGTGACATCACCTCCACTGACAATGCATGCTTACCCCCCTACCTTTAATCCTTCCTCCATCCTTCCCAGCCCCCCCTCTTTTTCTTTCATTTGTCATCTGCCCAAATTGTATCCCCTAGTCAACATCAGTTAAACGTGATGAGATACACCCAGGAGTGAGAGCAATTTTAATCTGGGAAAAAAAAACTATGAAAATGTTGATTATTAGTGATGGCTTTGAATGATGACAACCCCTGGCTTCCCCTGGCTTCCACATGTGCACATGCACACATGCATGTAGACGTGTACACACATATGCACACATATGCACACACATGCACACAAGTACACACAGGCACACACAAGCACACATGTACATGCACACACATGAGCACATACTTGCAAATACATGAACATATGCATGCAATAATTAAACAAAGAACTCTAAGTGTGTCTTCTCCCTACCTAGGCTCTACAAAGCTGAGTGCTAAACTGCTGCCAGTTTCCAAGTCGGCTTCTTACTAATCCTGAGAAAATCATAAG